GTTGACCGACTATCGCCTGGCAGCTATAGGCCTATAATCCCCACTAGCGTGCCGTGCCAGGTGATGGAACGCATTCTGAAGCGAGCCATCCTAGATCACCTTACTTCCAGCAATTTGATATCTCCAGCTCAACACGGATTTCTCCCAAACCGTTCTTGCGTGACAAACATGCTCGTGTTTATGGACAGCTTAACTCAAGCCAAGGACGAAGGACTCATATCGGATGCCATATTTTTTGACTTCTCAAAAGTATTTGATAGGGTCCCACACGTCCCGCTGCTCCACAAACTCGAGTCTTACGGGATTCAAGGGAAAATCCTTCGCTGGATCAAGGCGTTCCTATCAGACAAATCATTCCGAGTGAGAATAGGCTTGAAATACTCTTCTCCAGCGCCGTTCTCCATTGGAGTTCCTCAAGGCTCCGTCTTGGGACCACTCCTGTTTCTGATCTACGTGAACGACCTCACGGACGTTCTTGCGAGTCCATGTTTACTTTTTGCGGATGACTTGAAATCCTGGAGTTCCAATGCCAGTGCCCTCCAAATGGATGTAGACGCTGCCAAGCAGTGGTCGTTGGACTGGCACTTTCCTCTGAATGATGAAAAGTGCGTCCATGTGTCGTTTGGAGGGGATTCAGCGTATGCCTTTGTTATGCATGGTGAAAAGGGACCAGAAAACATCATGAGGATAGATGCCAAAAATGATTTAGGCATCTGGGTCTCCTCAAACTTGTCCTTCGCACTACGCCATGAGAAATCGGCCTAAAAGGCATTCGCCGTTTTACGGATGATCCGACGTACCTTCTCCGGTATTACTCGCATGGACTTCCAAATGCTCTATGGGGCCTACGTCAGACCGCTCCTGGAGTACGCCAACTAAGTTGTCTACTCAGGACGTACGAAAGACGTTACCCTCATTGAGCGTGTCCAGCGGGCTGCCACGAGAATTGTTGCCGGCCTCAAGTCCGTGGACTACGAAACGCGTCTCGCGATGCTTGATCTCTTTCCCCTGGATTACCGTCGCCTCCGAGGGGACCTAATTCTTACCTACGCCCTGTTTGAACAAAGCTTGGCAAACAGGTTTTTTACCGTTGACCCAGCAAACACCCGGCGGGGACATAGTAAGAAAATCTTCAAGCTCAGGGCACACACATCCGTTAGACAAAACTTTTTTTCATTTCGGGTAGTAGCTGCGTGGAATGACCTTCCTCCGACGGTTGTACACGCTCCTTCTCGAACCCAATTTAAAGCACTATTAGACATTTATTTATGCGAATCCTCGCGCTGGCGAGCATACTGCCCAGTGCTGAGAACATAAGGAGCAGTGCTACACCCTTTTTTCACTTGTGCCTTTCAGGTGAACGACAGCCACTGACCGACAAGAACAAAACCGACCCGGGAATCTTGGGCAAAAGCCTCGATCCTTTGTATCAATCCGTGAATCCGTGATTGGTCAGAATAGACTAATCCGAGTCGAGCATTTTGTGGTCGGCGGTTGTCACCCCATCCAGAAGGAACCGGGCATTACACTTGTAGTATGCACGCTATGAAAGCACCAGGGGATAG